GACTGTACTTGTGACAATCAGTTTGCACACAGCAACGTCCCACAAACAACCAGAAGTGAATGACCAATTTTATATGGGATGATATTAGCCACCGGAAAAAAAAGCAGGACAAATAATCTTTCAAATAATGGCATGAAATCTTTAACAGCCAACTGGGACCTCAGTTTAAAGTCTCATCTAAAGGGCAGCATCCTCCAACAATGTAGCACTCCCCCAGCACTGCATTGAAATATCAGCCTAGAATATGAGCTCAAAGTCCCGATGTGAAAGTTTGAACCCACTATCTCCTAAATCAGCGTACGCTAAAGAAAGTTACATCAGAGTATGCTAAGGAAAAGTTACGTGGCAATGTACAAGACCAGAGAAGGCAGATCGGTTTCAGTCCATCTGTGCAGTCTAATCTTCTAAAATATCACTGCTTACTATCTCTCCCCCTCCCCCTCTCTCTGGATAAAGGCAGAGCAGTGAAATAGAAGAGCAACACAAATATATAATTGAGCCTGAAATCATAGAGTACAGTACTCCCAAATGCATAATCCTATTGTGCAATAACAACTGACATGTTTCACTTTGAACAAGATGTTACTGATTACATGTCTCAGTCCCGGCTGTAACTTTGTAAATTTGTGTAACCTCACATAGTAAAACTTCACACACCTGTGGTGCAGACTATGTGCCTGTAGGCAATGATGCCATGCATACCTGCAAGGAAGCATTTTGCGTGAAGTGGATGCATTTCAAAAAGAATGTTTATAAATAAAATGTATGGGTAGAATTTTCCTCCACTTTAAAGGGAAACAATTCCCTCCTATAACTTCAGTAAGTGACTCTTCTCGCAGAAATGTTAACTATGAAAAAAAATGGTCAGTACTTATCCATATAGGACCACAATACCTATTGGTGTTGTGTTTTGCAGGTACCAGGACATGCCTCCTACCTCCAAGCTTCTCATTGGATGACATGGACCTATTTAAAGATAGGTCAGCCTTTACTTACTCGCCCCTCGCTCCAGTTAGAACTTACTTTATCAACCTCAAAAAGATGGAGAGCTGAGTAAACCCAACAAATTCAAACCAAGAACCTTGCAGTCACAAGTCAGCTATCAAACAACTGATCCATTCAAGATGTTGCCATATATTGACCTCGTGAGTAATCTGTATTCTTCCAATAAAGTTGCCACTTCCTCCAGATAAAGTCATCGTATATGTATAAAAATTATATTCCCCCATCTATCAGTGGATTAATCATTCATTATTATGGATCAAAGTACTAATTATATTAACTATTTTATGGAAACTGAAACTTGTTATCTCAAACAGCCAGGCAGATACATTGCCAGCTTCCTTGTCATGTAGCCTAAACAATCGAGCAGCATAATCCGTCTAACCTGCAATCAGTCAGGTACTTTCTGTTGAAGTACTCATTTGGTTGTAACTTTCCCCCCAGGATTTGAAAGCTCCAAATTGATTCCCAGGGCTGGTCTCCATTAAAGTTCTAGGATTTCAAACTTTTTTCTTGTAAGTAATTGTGTGGCTTAGCAGGAAAACTTAGATCTGAAGTATTGGATCGCTGTGAGACCACAACACGATACTGCATTTCATAACAGGTAGTCTTGAAGGAGATGTCTCAGAGAGGACTGTTTGGAGGTATACAACATTTTAAATGGGAACCCAGAATAAGAATAATTTGCATTTATATGTAGCGTCTTTCACACAAGTCAATGTATTGCATAGCTTTGCAAGGGATAAGGTCAGTCACCTTATAAAAGGGAGTTTTTGAGGATGGACTCAAAGACAGTGATGGGACAAAATGGAGGGGTTAAAGGAGGGAGTTCCAGAAGTGAGGGGGATAGAGTCTGAAGGTTTGGGACTCCGTAATAGCTTGTAAAGGATGGAAGGATGAGCAGCACGGCCAAGCTTGTTGCTGTGATTGGGGGATGGTAGTATTCTATATTCTGAAGGATGAGATCAAATGGGCTGAAGGGCCTTCTTCGTCTGAATCAATCACGTGATTTTGTGAACTGAGAAGCTGCGTGGTTATCCAGCTCCCACGCCTCTATTCATGCTGCTCTTGAGAAAGACACTGGCCTTCAGGCAAACACCTGGCTTCTGTTTCATATTTCATATTTCTGATGGTAATATTGAAATCAAGAATTTACCATGTTGTCAATTGTACTCCATGAACCCAGACAAAACCAGGCTATAACATAATTTATTGGAGTTCAAGCCTGTTGAATCACCGAGGAAACAAAGGGCCCAGTAGTTAACTGACCCTTTCTTTTGTGTAACATTGCATCGAGTAAAGTTTCATATAACACAAGATGGGTAAGAATAGTTGAAAAGACAGTAACCTAATTGAAGGGTTCAGATAACATCCTTGAGTCCAAGAGTGAACTGTAAAATTAGTAATTGAGACTGAATTATTGTTTGTAATCCTCTGCAACCTAACGATTACTTTTTGTTTTAAAGATTTTAAGGATTTTCAAAAAAATATATATTTGATTGTGCTGTTTTTTTAAAATTTCTAATTGCAAAATGAAAAAGCAAACTCCAGATAATTTAGATAGTGAATTATAGAATAATGCCACTCTCCAATTTAATGTTAAATAACTTTTTCTTTTTGAATAGTGCCATGGGATCTGTCATATCCACCCAAAGGACAGCACCTCCAGCAATGAAGCACACTTCTAACACTGCATTGGAGACTCATCCTAGACTATGTGAGTTCAAAGTCCTGATGTGAGGCTTAAAGTCATAAATTTCTTTCTCGGAGGCAAGAGTGCTACCAACTGAGCCACGCAGCCTCTCTTTGCATTTTCACACATCTTCACTCATAAACATTCTGACGCTGGAATAATTGACTACTGTAGTGCCATACCTCAGCCAGAATAATAAAGCAAATCTGCCTAAAATATTTGCCTAAATTACCTCATCTATGTATATTATCTATCATTAGTCGATCATTCTTTGTATTTTATAATTAAACTATGCATGAAACATAAATGTAATCTACAGATATAAAATCAATCATATATATGTGTGTGTATCATCCTATGACCTACTTTCAAAAGATTCCATGTATAACTCTTCTATGCACTTCTCAGATCTTTTCATATCAGTTTCTTCTTGTACCGAATTCATGCTAACTGCATTCAGTTTTTGCATTTCAAGATAGATGTTTTTGCAAGCATTTTTATCTGTCCAGTATTTTCCAGTTCATTGACTTAGAATGACGGTGGAATTCTTCAACGACGACTTGTATCTGTATTTTTGTATGAAGTTCTTTTGAGACCTCCTCTTGACATGAAAGGTGCTATGCAAATACAAAATTGTTCTTGGTGTACACTAAAGAATGAAAGTTAAGGATGTTGACTAACGACACGGTTGAAGCTAATTTTGTGCACAGCGGCATCCAACAAAGAGCTGTGAAGTGAATACCCAATTTTATCTGGGAAATTGTTGGCCAGGATACCAGGAAGAACTCCATTCTTTACAGGTAGAGGCCCTCCCAGTCAATGACAGAACCCAAATTAAGTTATACCAACATCATCAAACAGATCTTTGTCTCTGCATTTCAGTTTAAGATGGCTTCCTTCGCCTGGAAATGACGACAACATTCCAAAAAGGACACGTGGGCTTTCTCTATATTCTCCTTGTGATTGAGGAATTCTCCCCAAACATTGCCATAGCCAGGAATTTTGCCCTGTGCACACAAGATTTCCAAGTTAGAGCTCACCATTTGCTGAATGCTTGGCTTATTCATCCATAATCAAACCCACTTTCCCTAAAGTGTAGTCTTTTAAACAAAATTTGTGTTGAGTCACAATGTATTTCTAAAACCTTGTATATTTCACATAACTTGGAAAAAAATAATACATGGGAAATCATGTGGTGACTTTGTAATTTCCATTGCCTGTGCTAGGCTGCTGGTGACTGATAGGATGTGAAATGCAAACAGTGCCGTTTCCTGAAGTAAACACCGCTATTTGTGCTGGTTGGATGCACGATAAGCAATTGGAGAGGAAAAGTAAATGCAGTCACAAACTTAAAATACGCCTTGAACAGAAAAGCTATGAATCTCATGCTAATGCACGCGGATTGGCAGATCTGGGTCTTAGAAGATCTCGGGGGTCATCATGCGACACAGGAGAGTCGATAATTTGGGGCTGGAGTGACCGAATTAATGCGCATTTACTTATTGACGCATTTAATTCACATTGCGAAGGGATTATTCGGCTCTGGCTGGAACGCTCTTCCTCCGCCGTGCCCCCTCCCTTCTCCATCTCCAGGTCGCGCCAGACGACCCGACCTTCCTCTTCGTCCGTGCCTGCGGATCACCGTCCCCCGCCCCACCCCCCCCCACCCGGCTCGGCCTGGTGCGTGAGAGGGGGGGGGGCGCTATATAATTGCAAGTTGTTGTTGTCATCACCCCACCCCACCCCACCCTGGGGAAAGCAACCGCCAGTCAACTAACAACCGGGTTCCACCTTAAAGCGAGCGAAACGGAGGTGCGCGGAGTAAGGAAACTTCTTAAGGCTTTGCATGGTTTAGCAGAGGCTTTAGACCCAGCTCTTATCCACGCCCATGGCTGCCAGCACTGCACACCCCCCCCCCACCCCTCCCTCCAGGTGAGAGAGGTCCTCTCTGCTCTTGGCTCTCACACAGGAGCTGGGTTTGGAACGCGAGGCCCACGTGACACCCGTCCCCGCCCCCCCTTACGTCGTCGTCACCGCCCGGTCGCGTGTGATTGACACCCGCGCTCGCCAATGGCTGGAGCGGAGGAGGCGGTGGCTCCGGCTCCTGCCGTGACGGCGGGGCGGGCCGGGCTCGGAGCGTCGTGCGTGACGCGTGACGCGTGACGCGACGCGGGGTTTGATTGACAGGTCGGCGACATGGCGTGGAGGGGGAGGCGGGCGGTGTGAGTGCGACCCATCCATTTCCCTCCCCCTCGCCTGTCTCGGGCTCACGCGCACTCCTCACCGCCAGACAGCAACAGCAGCAGCGGGAGGAGGAGGAGGAGGAGGTGGTGGCGGCGGCTCCTCTGAAGGTCTGGCGTGAAGCTAACACCGAGTCGGGCGGCGGCGGCGGCTGCTGAGACTTCGCCGAGCCTTGGAAGGAGTGGTGGGGAGTGGTGGGGGTGTCCTCAGGTGGGTGCGGCGCCGCCCGCCGCCGGGGGTTGGGTTGGGTTGGGGCCGGGGCAAAGTTTTCAGGAGTCTCCCTGACTCTTCCTCGCGCGCGCTCGCGCTCTCTCTCTCTCTCTCGGTGTCTCGAGACGGCGGTTGGGATGGAACTTCGCGGCGTTTAAAGTTAACGGCCGCCGCGCGCCGAGCGGGGCCCGGACCCGCCCTTTTTTTTTCACACACACCCACAAGTCGGGGTGTGAGTCAGAAGTTAAGACCTAACTTTATTATTATTGTTGTCGTTGTTGTTGTTAGACTAATAGTCCTGGCAGTTGAGACGGCGCCTTATCCCGTCTTCGCGGCGTCTCAAAAGCGCTTGACAGGATACGCAGCGTGAAGCGAAGCGACTGTACGCGTTGTGGGCGAACTTTGAAGCCACCCCACCGGCTCCGTCACCGGAGAGGGTTCAGCGCGGCCGATCGTCAAGACACGGGCGAGTGACTCCCACCCCACACCCACCCCCCGCCCAGTAGTGAAGTGTCTACGCTGCCCTCCCATCCCCTCCCATCCCCTCCCTCCCTCTCTGCATCGCTGAGAAAGCCACACCAAAGGGCTGAGGGTAACGCGCTGCAGTCTTTTTTTTTATTGTTGGTCTTACCATCAAGAGTCCCAAGTAAATTGCCCCCTCTTCTCCCTCCCTCCCACCCACCCTCCCGTGTTTGTAAAGTTTCAAGTTTCAACCCACCCCCAACTACACACACACACACACACACACCCACACACACACACTATACATGGCAGCAGCCCCCTGTAAAACTCTTTAGACAGTCACGGTCTCTAAAATGGGAATCGCATCCGTACCCATTGGTTCGCGTTCCTTTTATTTTATTGCTTTCTAAACTTACTGACCCATCGATGGATGGGGTCTGTAAGTACTGTCCTGTACTGTGCTCTACCAAATGGCTAATTTGGATTCCCGCAGGTGATGTGTGTGTGTGTTTTTTTTTAGGAAAACGCACACGAATCCTCCTTTTTTTTTCGCTTGAAATTTGTCGAGTGCAGATACTTTGTTGAGTTGCATATTAATTGTTTTGGTAATAGTTCGTTGTAACTCGTGGTGTAGTTGTCTACAGTGGTTGTCTACAGTGCTTTGGATAATAGTGTTCTGCTTTATTTTATTATTATTTTAGAGACTGTTACTGTTAATGGTTTTGCAGGCTGCTGCAATATATATTTAATAAAATGCAAATCAACTGTTTACTTATTATCTCAATACTGTAACAAAAAAAACTTGCATCTATATAGCACCCTTCATGCAAGGAGTGCTTAACAGCAGTGTGATTTGATGTCAAGCTGGAAGGAGGGGCAGGTGACCTTGGGGAGGGGAGGAAAGTCTTCAGGTGTGATTTGAAGACTGGCAAAGAGGGAGCACGATGGAGGGATTGAGGCCGGGAGTTTCAGAGATGTGTCATTAATGGGAGCTATTCTCTGAGTGAGGTGTTATAGATTTAATGTGTAAGTGATTTCATTTTATTATTTCAAGCAAATTGGGTCTATAGAAAATACCCAATGATCATATCCAATAAATCAGAATTCTCGATGCAAGAATACAGCAGCTGCAGTTAAACTTGAAGGTTAGCGCAGACAAGTATTTTAAGAGCCAGTTGTCTTCTGAATAGATGCTGACTGCATTATTTCTGTTTATATCCAAACTATGTTTAACTGTTCAGATGACATTGAGTTATTCTGGTTTTGTGTGTTTATTTTTACTGTACTACTTTTGCACAGATTACTGAAAAACGTTTTGCACTCTTCCTAGGCTGACATATCCGTGTTTGTTTCTGTTGCTCAGTTGTTCTTAAAAGCTTTTTTGCAATTAATTTATCTCATTGCAGCTTCTGCATTAGTGGAAATGAAGCATGTTCAGATTAACTTCTGGTAAAGGGATTGGATGATGTCTTGTACTGTGTACAAAACAGTCTGGGAATAAAAGCCTCTAGTCTAGGTTCAATATTGTTGTGTGTGGGTCAGGCTTTGGTTTGGAAAAACAGTAGAATTACTCTACGCAACATATTCATACTTTCTCTACCATCCCCCATTCCAGCGTCCTGCTGAAAGTAGCGTGCGTTGAAGATTCAGATTCTTGAATTTTCCACTACTGTAGTGTCTGTTTAATTCCTGGGTGTTTCTATAACATTTATGGAGAGAACATCTTAATTGCCACATACTGACCTCAACCAAAAGAGATTTTGAACACCTACCGAATAAGTTATGTTACGATAGAAATTAAATTAATGTTATTTTCTGAAATGAGCGGTTATTTAATTCATATGCAATGTGCTACAACAACAACAACAACAAGATTCCATTTATAGAGCGCCTTTCACGTCAGGAGGACGTCCCAAGGCACTGCACAGTTGGGTCATGACCCGAGCAAGGGGGGAAATGGTCAGGGTGAGGGGAGGGAAGGGAGGGAGAGAGGAGGGGGAAATGGTCAGGGTGAGGGGAGGGAAGGGAGGGAGAGAGGAGGGGGGAAATGGTCAGGGTGAGGGGAGGGAAGGGAGGGAGCGAGGAGGAGGAAGAGAGTCGAGAGGGGAGCTGAAGGCACGGTCAAAGAGAAAGGTTTTGAGACCGGCCTTGAAGGAGGAAAGGGAGGAGGCAGCGAAGGCACTGGGGGATGGAGTTCCAGAGCCTCGGGGCTGAGAGGCTGAAGGCCCGACCACCGATAGTAGGGCGGTTGGGGCGGGGGACGTGGAGCAGACCGGAGCCAGAGGAACGGAGGGTACGGGCAGGTAGGTAGGGGGATAGTAGGTTGGAGAGGTAGGAGGGAGCAAGGCCGTGAATGGCCTTGTAGGTGAGGATAAGGATCTTGAAATCAAGGTTAAGCTGTTGACTTGAAATGGTATTTGAACTAATGGTTGGTGCAAATGACCAATACAGAGCAACAACAAGATTACATGTGTATAGCGCCTTTCACGTCGGGAGGACGGCCCAAGGCACTGGACAGTGTGCAGCTTTTCAGACCCGAGCTAGGGTCAGGAGGGGAAGGGGGGGGGGGTAGCCGATGGCATGGTCGAAGGGGAGGGTTTTGAGATGGGACTTGAAGGAGGCTAAGGAGGAGGCGAGGTGGATTGAGTGAGAGCAGAGGTTTGTGTGTCAAATTTGGTCGTAGCCAAATGAAAATGCTATGTTTTTGTGCAGTTTGGCATTAAGTGAAACATTTTTAATTAGTTAATTGAAATTCAGTGACCTTAGGATAATCTTAAGCCAAATACAAAAAATAATGTTTTTCAACTATTGCAGAGCTTTGAGCGGGTACAGAGTATTCCCTGCCAGTTCATGCTTTCAGTTTGGTTTCCCTTCTGATAACACTACTTCATAGATTTAGTTTATGTTTATTGTGCAATTATCAATTGTCTTGGTTTGAATCCTGTTTAAAAAGAGAAGGGAGTTTCTCCCGGTCTTGGTTAGCAACCCTCCAGATAAATTGGTCATTCACTTAAGACTGTTTTTAGGACTTTGCTATGTGCAAATTGGCTGCTTTGTTTGCCTGCAAACACTTTGACTAACATTTGGCAGCGATTCCCTATGTAGTGCTTTGATATATTTTCACAGTATGCAAATGCAAGGATTATGTTTATTATAATAGTCTTTGATGTAGATTCAGTTTATTTTGGGAGAAAGTTGAATGTACCAGTTGTACATGTCATACATTAACTCCCATTCAATAAGACTTTGCCAATGTGTTCTTATGGTCGAACGGATGACCTGCAAAAAATTTAATTTATTAATATATTTTCCTAACTTATGTTTGTCATTTATATTAACCATATATATTGAATAACCTGCATAACGGGGTTGTTGCTATGGACTTTATATAGAGATGAAATGCTAAGATAGTGTAGCTTCTGGTTGTTTACGAAGGCTGTTAACTGCCCTTGTTACAAATTAGACTTGCACACTACAATAATGAGATGTGCTGACCATTATTTGATAATCCTTGCATTTGGTATAGCACCTTATCACATTGATATGTCTTCAAGAGTTTCAGAGTTTTAGTTTTCTGTGAATAGTAATTGTATATTTGGAGACAAAATACCAAATTGTGCACAACAGTGTCCCACAAACAACAACAACAAAATTACATTTGTATAGCGCCTTTCACGTCGGGAGGACATCCCAAGGCGCTGCACAATGTTTCGGACCCGAGCTGGGGGTCGGGATCGGGGAGGGTGGAGGGCAGGGGGTGGGGGAAAGAGAGTAACCAAAAGCACGGTCGAAGAGGAGAGTCTTCAGACAGATCTTGAAGGAGACAAGGCGGAGGGACTGCGGGATGGAGTTCCAGAGTTGGGGCAGAAGGCCCGACCGCCAATGGTGGGGTGGTCGAAGGGGGGATGTGACGCAGGTCAGAGCCTGCTGAGAGGAGGGAATGGGTAGGTAGGGGGTTAGGAGGTTGCAGAGATGGGGGGCAAGGCCATGGAGAGCTTTGAAGGTGATAACCAGGATCTTGAACTGTATCCTCTGTGTGATGGGAAACCAGTGGAGGAGGGGGAGGATGGGGCGATAGGGTCACGGAGCCTGGTGCAGGAGAGGATACGGGCTGTAGAGTTCTGGAAGATCAAACAGGCTTGAATTGTGCAACCAATTTTATATTTTGGGGATTGTTGCCCAGACACCCTTCTCTATTTAAATGCGGCAATGGGATCGTTGCTGCCCACATGACCTTGGTTTATTATGTTATCCGAAGGACAGCACTTCTGACAATACAGCACTCCCACAGCACTGCATTGAATAGTCAACCTAGACTATGAGCTCAAAAAGTCTTGATTTTGTACACACCTTACAAGGTGTAAGATGATTGATCATATGATGCACTGTGGTTGAAAGTACAACAAAAGGGATTGCTGGAATTATCCAGTGGGAACATTAAAGTTTGCATGGTCCTACAGTAGAAAGGCAACATTGTAAATTGGCTGCTTTCTTGCTTTTTTTTTCTCTGATTGACTTGAAACTGAATGAATATTTGG